TGGGATGGGATGGCGTGGGATGGGATGGGATGGGATGGGGTGGGATGGGATGGGATGGGATAGGATCCACTGGATGTGATCCATGGGATGGGATGGGATCCATTGGATGTGATCCATGGGATGGGATGAGGCAGGGAGCAGGGTGTGGGAGCTGATGGAATGGTCTGGGAGCAGGGATTGGGCAGGGTCACAGAGCAGGAACACAGGTACACACACACACACGTGCATCCTATACACACATACCCACATGGGCACATGTATGTGTATATTTATATTTATATTTATATTATTTATATTTATATTTATATTTATATTTATGTGAATATACACATAGATGTACACACCTGTCCTTATAGAACCTCCCCTGACACTTTTGGGACGCGGCCCCTTTAAGGACCTGTCCCCTCACGCCCCGCCCCGCTCCCCGCCAGCCAATCCGAGCGCCCCATCCTCAGCCAATCAAATCCCGCCTCCCCGCAGGCCCTCCAGCCAATCAGCGCCTCCGTTTCTCCACCCGCCGCCTCCGCGCTCCGGGGCCTGGCCGGGGCCTCCTCCGGGCCCCGTAGGGATCGGGCGCTGCCGCCCCTCCCGGCCCCGCCCGGGACCCGCCCTCACGGCCCCGTGCCCCGGGGATTTGGTGCCGTTACCGTGCCGGAGCCGCCGGACGCTGTGTCAGCCATCTTGGAGCCATATGGAGCTGTGCGCATGCGCCAGGTGCGGAGGGGCGGTGGGCGGGAGCGCGGGGCATGGTGGGAGTTGTAGTGCGGGTGGAGCCAAGCGCGGAGCATTGTGGGAGTTGTAGTGCGGAGGAGGGGCAACATCTGGATCCGCCCACCCCATCCCGCTTCCCCTGCACATCTGGATCCCGAGGGGGTGGAACGAGATGAGATTCATGGTCCCATCCATCCCAAACCGTTCTGGGGTTCCACAGGACACAGGGACCGCGAGGATTCTGCCAAGGTGGCAAAGTCTCCATCGCCATCCTGATTTATCCCTGGAGCTCCTTGAGCCGGGGATGAATCTGTGCCTGCTCCACTGATTAATTCTCTTTTCTTGCTGATTAGGCTCGAAAGTGGACAAAGACCCGACCTCAAAGAACATCCTGATTTGAGATAATTGATATATTTATATATTTATGATTTATCCCACATTTCGCAACGCGCCCGACTCAAACCTCCTGTCACGGCAATGCGTTCCCACTTGGAAATAATTTACAAAAACCCCTCAAAAACACTTAGGGACAGCTCCCAAAACCATTTGCTCAGCTGATGGCACCTGGATGTCCCCACCCACGGGTGTAAGTACCACCAGCTGCCCCATTTTCCTGTTTCTTGCCCCATTTTCCTGTTTCTTGCCCCATTTTTCCTGTTTTTTCCCCATTTATAGCCATTTTCTCCAGCTTCACCGGGGTGGTTGCTTTGTCACCCCTCACTGGACTCTCACTCTGCCTTTGTTTTGGTTGTTTCAAAGAAGAAACGTGATGTGTGTGATTCTTGGAAACAAAGCAGCTTTCCAGTGTGGAATTCCTCTGTCAGACCTGAAAACCCTGCTGGATGTCCGGAAACTCCACCTGGAGATCCAGAAACCTGAAAAGGAGCTAAAAATCTCCACCTACAGCTGGTGGCACTGGCATTGCAAGAAGCATCCTCTGCGTGTTGGATCATGATGCTGGCTGAGGATTTTTGATGACAGGTTTGGTCACATGAGGAGTCGATGAGTTGTGAGTTAATTTGTAGGTTCAGTTTGTAGATCACTTTATGCCTTTTAAAGCTTCACATTTAGATCTGTTTAGCTGGCAGGGCACAGCTAGGGAGGAACGGAGTGGAAAGTGAATTTTGGTGGTACAAACAGACATGAATGTGGTGAGAGCCACTCACTCTCCAGTCCATCCCACTGGGAACATTCCCTCATTAGTGGGAACAACCCCTTCACTGCCTAATTACTTTTCTCAGGGCCAAGAGAACCTCAAAGCCTCTGTCCTAGTGAAGCAAAAATTCCAGTTTTCCTTCCCAAGCGGGATGGCTGGGTCCATGGCAGTGCCACAAATAACAGAATAACCAATAAATGTTGGTTTTTAACCATCCAGTGAAAGGGAAGCTCTGTGCAGGCCTTGTGTCTTGTGATGGGAGCAGAGATCATAATAAACCTGAAATTGTAATGACAGCTCTGTCTGGGTTTTAATAATCTGTCCTGTCTCTGGTAAAGGGAAGTGTTTACGTGATACAGGAAGTAATAATATAGAGATATTAATAATATATAATATAAATATAAAATATAAAGTATAAAATATAAAGTATAAAATATAAAATATAAAGTGTAAAACATAAAGTATAAAATATAAAGTATAAAGTAAAAAATATAAAATATAAAACATAAAATATAAAATATAAA